CTGTCTGACAATGAAAATCCGTTGTATTGTAAAATTCGTTATATCAAAATTCGTTGTAGAAAGAGTTGACTGTATTTTCTTACTATAATAATATAATTAGAATAAGATTCAATTAATTAATTAAATGTAGTTTTACTTTTTTATTAAAAAAATGTAATTGAAAAATCCAACACAATAAATCATAAAAATATCAATAACATTAGTTTTTGAGATGATATTATTTTATTGTATTATATAATATAAACTATTAATTTTCAGACGACTCTGCTTCATCAAGAAGTCGTAATGCCATAGTTTTTTTGAATGATAGTGAAGTATTTATTATCCAATTTAAAATTGTAGATATTCTTGACACGTCATCTTTGGAAATTTTCCCATCAGCCACCCTTTTAAAAGTTTCTCGTGCATTTTATTAGCATTCATTTTTAGTCTAATATTAGTTGTACTAGTGTGAAATATTACAATAAGTAATTTCTTAATGTTCTCTGAAATTCATTTGATTTGTTATCTTTGTTTCACTTTCAAATTTTCTGATAGAACCCATCCATTAACAAATATAATAGCACTAAAGAGTAATAAAAAAATATGAATTTACTTCAATTTAATACTAAGGTATAGTCAAATTTACCTTTTTAATATTGGGTAAATATTTATTTCTTCAACCTGTATTTCAACTTTTTTTATCAAAAATCCTAATAAAACAAAAACATAAATATTTCCATTATATTTACTTCAGGAATCTCCCTCTCTACTTGAGAATTCTTATTTGAAAATGTGTAATATTAGTCAATACAAATGATCGCAAATAACCACAATTTTTGTTGTACAGTTTCATGATTTTGAAAAATAACCTTTTCTTGATATCAACAGTACAGTCCATAACTTTGAAGGTTGTGTATGTATTGTATAACTTGGAGTTAGTTTTTTAAAGGTATGTGTCTTTGTAATTTTGTCAATTTGATCAGGAGCAATTTTGTTCTATTTCTCAAACTCTGGTAATGCATGAATACATATGTGTTCATTATCCTTTCCTGTTTCAGGTCAAATAAGCTCATGCCAATTTGATATCCCATTAATCGTTTCTAGTTTTCCTTTTACTATATAAAAATTATTATTTATTTTTTTCAAAAAAAAAAAAAAAAAAAAAATAGATGAAACTAAAATATATTTTATTATCTTTATCACGATCTGAGATATATGAGTACCTGAAAGATCTTGGATAGCATTTTCAATATCTTTTCCTTCTTCTATTTTATGTTCTATTTTTACCTATCTTTTTATTGCATGTGAAATCTAAATGTAGTAATATAACAAATGAACAATACTACAATAGTTTATAAAATATTAATAATACTGATTAGTTTATACTTGAGCATAATAGGAGTCTATTGCAATCTTTGCTTTACCTACTTCTAAAAACAACTATCTACAAGAATTAATGTTATACTATTCTTTTCAGTGACCTATAATAATCATTAATTCTGTATTACGGTAATGTCTTCCATTATCTAAAATAATAGTAATCTATTTTGATTTTGATTTTAAGATTTTGATTACAGTATGCAATGATGATACAGTGAACTATACATCTTGATGAGTATCATATGACCAATGATTAAATGCTTTTACATTCAGGCTATTATCAGCATTTTTTATATAAACAAGAATAGAATGAAGTGTCCATCCTCTCTTTCCAAACCATTCATTTTTTATCTCACGAGCTTTTTTGGGTAGGATTTTCATCTTATAATCTACAATTATTAAAGCTCCATCTGAATTAAGTTGAGAGAATTGAGCATTAAATTGTAAGTTAAGATAAGATTTACGAGCATAATATGCTATAAAAGCAATCAATTGATTTTGATAATTCAGTAATTTCTCTTGTTTTTCATTTTTAAGGTTATTTTGTAAAGTATCAAAGAATAAAAAAAGAGATTCACAATTTTCACAAGTATCTGAATAATTCAATTAATATTTACCAAATGCATAAGGTAGGCAATGACTAATACATGCACTATATTTAGCATAACCTGATAAATCAATATCTAATCCTTTTGTAAAATCTCTGCGTAAATAGTATCTCAAAACTTGTGCTTGTACTTTCAATTTCTTCTGTTATAAAATTTTAATTAAAAATGTAAATATTAAAAAAAAAATAATTGGTAAATATTATACTTGTATTTGAATGTTAGAAACATAATTTTCAATCAAGTCCTCAATTTTTACAAAAACTTCATATTCACATTCATTATAGGCTGAGCATAGGCCTTCCAGATCCTCTTTGTATTGATACTAATTTCCTTGAAGATGTATCATAAATGTAGTTCTTTTCATACCATTAGGATATGATTCTGAAAATTTTTTTCACAAGGATGCTTTAGTATCTTGAAGATACAATATAGGTAAACCAGTTCTACTATCTGTCTTGTAACTACTCATGTTTACATTTTCCTTATTGTTAAAAAAATGTTCAAATTAAGCTAATGATTCCTCTGATAATTTGACTCAGTAAATAATAGGTTTGGATAATGGTGAAGTACTATAACCAATGAATTATGCATATTTGCAAGCTTTAACAATAGTATGTGTATTGATCTAGATTTTAAATATTTAATATTAGAATTATTAGAATTCTAAATTCTAAAAACAAATTATATTGTATTTTACATTCAAATGTGATTTTAATTTATCATATGTAAATTCATTAGCGATAATTAATAATATTCTTCGCTTGCCATCTGAATTTTTTTTATTTATCATCAATGCATATTTGAAGCAATTCCAAAAAATTAGAGTTTTATTTGAAATGTATCAGGATTTTGTTTGGAGAAATCCTGACTTGTATAATATGTGTAATAATTCCTTATCCCTTTCATAATCGATTGATCGTGTCTAAAATTGCCACTTTTAATATTTAAAATAATAATTATTCATTAATTTATATAGTAAATTCATAAAAAAAATTATTTATTACAAGCTTCCTATTTATTGACCCATTTTTTTTACTACAATAAATGTAATTCTTTTTGTTAATAACTAATAATTTTTTTGGTTATCATCTAATGCATTTTTTTTAAATTAAATTATAACATATAATAAATTTTTGTGCTAATAATTTTTGGTTAGTTTCTTTTTTACACACATCTTGTCAAATATTTTTACTAAATTAATTGTGCAAATAATTTTCTTATCTCAGATTTATTAGATGACCAAGGAGTTATATTGTGACAATCTGCAGTACGTAACATTGTTCTCTATACTCTCAATTCCTACTCACTAAACTCATACTCCCTTGGATAAAGTTTTTTAAGACTGGATTTAAATTCAATTACTGGATTTTTACTTTTAGCCCATAATTCAAAAAATTGATACCATTTTACATTGACAAGAGTTCGACATCTAAGATTATGATTATATACAGATTTTAATGAAAAATAAGCATGCTAATCTTCTGAAAATTATGTAGGTTTTCATTGAATTAATTTTTGAATAAATGAATTTTCAAGACCAAAAAGTTGGATTCCTTCATATTGTTTTATAAATCCTGAAATTTTCCAAACTTCATTTAGAGAATTGCCTACAACCCGTTTTTGAATATTAAAATTTTGATAAATTTCAAGTACATAATTTTCATTTTCAATTATAGATATGAATATGGCTGGCTTATCAAGATATTTGTGATTAATTGAAGCTTTATATCCTGATTCACTATTATTTTAAAAACTAATTTCATAAATAAAAACTTGATATTTCCCAACAAAGAAAGAAAAAGAAGAAAAGGGAATATTTTGGGATAATTGAGAAATTATATTTTTATCATTCAATCTATCACTAGTGGATCAGAAAAGCGAGTTTGTTATGTAGAAAATATACTAGCATATAAATTTGAAATTGCAGCAAAAGAATTATTTTCTATTTTACTTGAAAAAGTATCTGAAGTACAAATAAAACCAGAAGCAAAAGGGTTATTAGTATTTCTTATAATAATAGCGACATAAAAATCTCTTTTATTAAGTACAACTTTCATGGTTTGATCAACACGAATTAGAAAATAACTTGAGATTACTTTCTTGTTATTATTTTTTACCATCAAAAATGAGAATATAGTCCATAATGTAAATCTAATATT